TAACGGTAATAGAGGTAGTCATAATACTAATGGTAGCAAAAATAGCAATTATAGTAATAGCAGGAATGTAAGTATAAGAAAGATATTAATGATAATGCTAGGAATGATAGCTGCGAAGTCGTTTGCTCTCGCATAGCTCCTATTGCGAATTGTAGCAAGGCGCAATCCTTTTATATAGTTCTTGCGATGAAATCCAGCAAAATATATATATTTTATGTAGTTCCAGTAATGAAATCCAACAAAATACAATCCTTTTGCATAGTTCCTCTTATGAAATATAGCAAAGCGCAGCGGTAGATTTTGATCCCGTAATCAGAAATTCATATAATGATATATTTCTCTAATATATCGAGATCATATCAAAAATATAATCAGAATCTTTTCTTCCTAGCTCTTTCCACGATCATCATCTTTCCGCAAATCTTCCGCACGCACAACGAGAAATCCATTTCGGAAATCATCCTGAGAGCTGCCAAGAAATATTTCCATATTTAAATGCGGCCCAAAATTATCTTCATAAGAAAATTATCCCTTTATGAAAATCTGAAATTCCTTTCGCGCGCCCCATCGCGAATCTTTGCGCAAATATATTTGAAATAAAAAGCGCAACCCTGAATTCTTAAAGAGATCTATCAAATATATAATAATAGCTAGGATTTCTATTAAAACAAGAGAAATATATTATAAGATAATCAAGAAGATTATAACTTATACGATATTCCTTTCGCAAAATCCAAAATTCCTTTCGTACGCTTCATCGCCTCCTTTCGCGGAAGATCTCTTAAATCATCTGCGGTCATTTTATATGAAAATCCTTTATCAAATTTTCAAATAATATCTACTTATATATTAGCAAATAAACGCAAAAAAAAGATCAAATAATCTTATATCAATCCCTCTCTATTTATATTTCCCAAAATATCAAGAAATAATCTCCTATAAATATATTTCCAATATCGTAAGATGAATATTAGCTATTCTCCTCCTCTTCTCTCCCTATATAAATTCAAGTCCCTATATCATAATATCTAAATATTAGATCATATAAAAATATTAAGAAGCTTCATTCGAAAACGGAGATAGTCTATGAATCAAATCTTTTTTTCCCAATTTCCCAATCTACGAAATATATCAAATCCTAGTCCAAATATGATCTATATCTTAGAATATTTAACGAATAAATAGATCTCTAATGAAGTTTTATAAAATCTCTCTATATATTATTTATAATCCTCCTTCGAATTACGAATATTTCCGGATGAAAATCTAGAGACGTAGAATATCTCCGATTCTATGATATATCATCCATTGAACGTATTCCTAAATACGAGATATCTGAAATCAAGGGCGCAATCTTGGTCCTTATCTCCATGTGTTACCGAGATAAATTCATTCCGAAATCCCTCAAAATGCTGCATAATCTTCCTGCCTGGTTTGGTATATATTTCTCTGATATATTCCCGCCAAATATTCCGAAAACCTAAATCTCAACCCCCCCAATTCCACCCCTCAGCTTATTCTTGAATTCTGTAGTCGGCTCTGAATTCTCTACCTTCTTTTAAATACTTTCCAGAATTAGCATGTCTCGTAAGTTATCCGAGTCCCATATGATTCCTTCCAAGTACTTCTCGAAATCGTGAACCTAATGCTTGAGATATGCTAAGATTTCCTCTATGATGTTATACGCCGAAGCCTCAAAGATTCGATCGCCCTTATGCAGAAAACGGTAATGCTCAATCTCAGCAAAACGTGAGCTCAGATCGAATTTCCTCTGGCTGCTTTTGAAGGCATCAGCTCCCACACTCCGCGTCAGTTCTACCACCACCCCACTGCGCATGGAGCATCTCTGCCTCTCGACGCAAGTCTGCGCAGTGAAGTGGATCTGTCAGTGGTATCATCTCATGATATGCCCGAGGGATGGAAATTGCGAGAACCACCTCCTTCCGGCCAGAGAAGCGGTCATCGCCCCCATGTTGTGGGGCCTGCCAAGATGGCGAGCCACAGAGGCTGTCCCTCCTCATCTCTAAGAAGCAGCTGCTTTAGGGGCTGCCAGAAATTCACCCATTGCCATGACCTTCGCGGCGCGTGGCCCACAAAGCACGAGGCATCCATCAGCGCTTGCACTCCAACATCGTGGCTTTAAAACATGTTTTGAGCAAATGTTGCTACAGACTAGTTGACTAAGTCTCTAAAGAAAACGCGTTTCACTACTCTTCCCCTGCCTACGAGACCAGGCAAGTTAGAATGCTAAAGAGGCTTTCACTCTTTGGGCCACTGGGACAAGTGTCCATGTAACCTTTGCCATTACATGAACCAATCCCCGCAAACTCCCTGAACCCTCAACCCAAGCCAACACGTAAGTGAGCCGCAGTGTCAGGAAGATGGTGGAAGTAGTCGTCCATCGATTCCTCCAGTTCCTCAAAAGCAGATTGCAGGTCCACGTCCGGACGCTTTTCGACCTCTTGTTTCATCACCTTGCAGGATGGCACTACGGGACTATGAAGATGGGATCTATGCCTGCGTGGATGGATGCACGGATGGATGGATGAGTTGGCGCGCGCAAGCTTTACACATGTACTTCCCAGGGATCACTTGCGTCATCTATGACATGCTAGCTTATATTGGCACGAGACTTGTTGCACTTGGGCGCCAAGAGCACCTGCACATGCTGCAGCTGAGGAACACTTAGGTGTGCCCTTGTGTGTGTCAGTGTCAGTGTGTCTGTGTGTGTTGGACCTCGGCAGCAGAGCTGAAAAGCTCCAGGAAACTTTGGTAGAGCCCCATGTCTCTTCAAGGAGATGATGAATTCACAGGGAAGCTTAGGCTTCCACTTCCGCCAAGTTGCGGTGGTAACCCTAGGACTGTGAAGAGTGGTCATGGACTTTCGATGCTTATTTAGCTATGTTTGATGCCCAAGAAGCAGCATTCTTGGATACGCATGAACTTGATCCAATAAAGGTGACAAATGAAGACTTGGTTGTGACAGCGGTTGCTGCGCAAGGAGCGACTTCAATTGACCGGTCTGCAGCAGCAGCAGCAGCAGCAGCAGCAGCAGCACGCGTGACTTTTAATCGATTGCATGTTTGCTTGCAAACTTGACAGCTGATACCGCTCGACTTAAAGTTCGTCGGAACTGTGATTCGGATGGTTTTGAGACTTGGCGACGCTTGGTGAAGAATTTCGCACTTCTGGATGCAGTGCCTTCTGTTTCTTTGTTGACCTCGCTACTTGACTTCCAGCTCAGTTCCCAATCTTGTAGTCAGGACTTCAACACTTGGGAAACCATTAAGGTGAAGTTACAGAAGCAGACTGGGAGAGAACTTCCTGACAGTGTTCTTTTCGCCACTTTGTTGAACAAGACCCCAACGTCTGGAATAGACATACTTACGCATACTACCAACATGCAGACATACATATCTACATCTAATATGGGCCATACACTGCCCCTAGGCGGGGAAACCATCTGCTGCCAAAGCACTGCCACCAGAGCTTGCACGACAGCTTGAAGCCACTCATTTGCCGGCCTTTCATCCTTGACTTCACAAGCTGATCTGAACCTCTCCATGTGGGAGAGTGGCATCAACTTCATTTCAGGGTCATGCTCACCGTCATCAGACCACTGCCATGGAGGTGGGGGCCAAATAAGTTCACCCTCCGCACCGTCAAAGTAACTCAGCTTGTAAGCATTGTACACTGCTTCCTCGGTTGTGAAGACGGGCGAAATAATCAAGCAGTTCCAATAACTTGCAGTTGACATGGCTCAAACCCGCTCACCCCGAGGGTTTCATGTGGATCTGAGACCCTCCAGAACTGCAACTTCCAGCGTAAGGACACCTATGAGCCATGCCAAGGGCTCCCGAAGCATCAAGCAAGCTTCGGCATTGACGATTTCGGAGGCGCGAATCTGAAACAGGACTGGCTTGCTGCCGACTCGCGCAACCAGCCTGGCCACAAACTATCTTGAGCACACGTATTCAGTAACGGTGATGCCATCAAATGCCCAAAGGGGACATGTTGTTAATAAGCGGGGTGTCTGCAGGACTGCAAAATTAGCAAGTACCACCATCCCCATGCCTGGCCAAGGTGAAATGCACCGGCGAGTGCAAGGCTTTTCCGTGCTTCGTGCTGAAGTCACAGCGGATCCATGTGACATCCTTTGCGCCCGTTGCCTGTCCATCCTGCTGGGCCTGTGCAGCATTGATGCGGTAGGCACAGCCTGCCTGCAACTTCACTAGCCTCTCCGAGACCTGAGTTCGGCGCCAAGAACTCTCAAAGTGCCTGGGAGTGGCTACTCTTCTAGCTGGGGCAATATTAGGGTTACATTGGGGATTATATTGTGATAATGGAAAAGAAAATGGAAACTACTACGTTATAGGGTTATGTAGGGTTTATGGGGGACAATCCCCCGGATAAATTTCGCCGTCACTTTCCACCCTACCCAAACCTACTGAGGAGCTTGTTTGAGCTCTGCAGGGCTCAAGTCTGAAAACAGTTCCTCGTCACCAGCTTCCACGAGTTGCAGAAGGATTTTTGGTCGCTTGGCAGGCCTCTCCTGAGAGCTCGATGCAGCGGTGGCACTACCAGCGGTTACCTGGAATGCTGCTAAGAAACTTAAACTAAGACACCATACTATGGCTACATAAATAAGACGGTTTCCTCATTATAGTAAGTTTGTTTAAGTTGCATAACAGCCACCCAGTCACTGGTGGTCCTTCGCGCTTGACAGGTCGGGAGCGGGAGGGGTCATCAGCACGGTATTGAACCCTGGGCTGCGGTCTTCTAGGAATTTCCCTAAGAAGGGGAGCCCTCGATTTACCTCGATACAAGACAAACGCTTTTCAATGGGCCGCTGAAAGGGACCCTTTTTTAAAGGGACCCTACTGGGAACCCCAAATAGGGAACCACAAGAATATAGCAGGAATATAAT